AAAAAAAAAAAAGAATAATGATGGAAAATTGCTGGACAGTTGTTTTAGAAGTCATTTGAAAAGAAGTTCTGTCTAAAAGAAAAAAAAAAACGCAAAGCTTTTTTTGTCATCATTGATCACTGTAGATTTTTTTTTTTACCGTTACGTTTATACGTACTAAAAAAAACCAAAAAAAAAAAGATACCGAAGAAATTCCTCAATCACATCCGTCGAGTCATCAAACGGCAATCAAATCACAAACGTTTGTCACACCAAACTAACTTATATATACGTGTTGTCGCTCGGTCAACTTTGTTCCTTTCCATTTTCTTTAAATTACGACCCAAACCACTGTCTTCTCACCCACTCAGATACGAAAGCAGAAACAACGCAGAATAATCAAAACATTAGAAAAAAAAAACAACGTTGTACTCATAAAGTTTCGTCTTCCACTTTTGCTGATGAAAATGTTCTTCCTTTTCCTTCTTTTCCGTATAAATATGACTAATTTCTCGGTTCAACATGAATCAGTTTTTTCACTTTTCTGATTTACTATTCAAATGATCAACTTTTGCTTTTCCCGTAGATCTGTAGACAAAAACAAAAGAAATATGTACATATATTCCAACACTTCCAAAAAATAACGCAAAAAGAAGACACTGGAATACTCTTCTTAAAGAACACTTCTGTATACTTTTCCTTGTTTATCGTTACTGTTTTAGGTTAGTACAACTAAAGAAAGACCGAACACATATAAGCATCTTAGTAGAATAAAATGACGAAAGAAAAGCTGTTATCAACTAAAAATTTTTAACAGATATTCCAAACAAAATAAAAGAAAAAGACAGAGAAATTTCTTCACCGTATTATAAGAACAAATGTCTAACATCAGTTGATTCGACAGGTAATAGAAGTCAATTTTAAGTTTTATAAGTCAATTTTAAGTTTCGGCTGATCTTTTTTCTGTACAACAAATTAATATTTGACATATGCAACCAGTTAATTAAGGTACAATAATTATATTTCCGGTTTCTAAAACGTGGCGAACAGAGAATAACTGTACGCTAAAGGCACAACACAGAACCCCTTAAATCAACACAACAAAATCGACAAGTCGACCCTTTAAGAGTTAAATGAACAAAAGAACAAAAAGAAGGAAAAAAAAACAAAATGTCGTGAAAAAGTATAAAAAGTAAAAAGCAATTGTTTTTCTTCTTTTTTCTCCCTCTCTTCTCGCGATAATTTACAATTCGGGTAATAATCAAAACTATAAAGTTGATGAATTCAATGTAAAATGTCTTATTTTTAGCATTTTTAAATAAAAACAACAGCAAATAACCAGCAAAACAATAAACGAAAAAGATGAGTAGAAAATTTTTTCTGCTAAAATTAATAAAAACAAAAAGTGAACTGAAGTCAAAGAATCAAAAGCAAAAAAAATTATACATCCTGTACCATAAAGTATTTTCACTGTACACAACAAACGACAACCAATACACACAGTTACCGTTACCAATTTTGGCCGTCACCTTTAATGATGGAAAACAGAAACAGAAGTACGCAGTGAAATTTTCGGAACTGAAAAACTCGAAACTAACACTGTACAAATTAATTAGAAGTACAAGTAAATACAGTTTGAAAAGTTTTCTTTTTCTTGCTTTTTCTAAACTACACTTCTAACCGATTGGTTGTCTACTCACAGTAAGTTAAGGTTTCAACTTTTAAATTAAAAATTCAAAAAAAAAAACACCAATACACCCATTACCGCCATCATCGGTTTATTTTCAGATGTGTAACCACGCAAACAGTTTGATCGGTAAAATTCAATGAGAAAAAAAACGAAACAAAAGACCGTATTACTGTTTGGCCGCAATTTTTACTTTTCTAAATCAAAAAAGAAAAAAAAGCATTCACAAATTGGTGTACCTCAAAGTATCAGAAACAAAAAAATACTCTTAGAAATAAATGCAGTTTACAACTTAATCAATTCGAATAGTGTGGCTGGCCAACAAACACCGAAATCAATGATAATAAAACAACTCCCCAGTGTTGAAAGCAAAAATAATTTTTCATCTCCTGTCGCCTATCAGTATCTGCTCGTCAAAAAATAAAAAAAAGAAAAGCACAAAAAGAAAAAGACAAAAAAGACTGTTGATATAAGTCAAAAAAAATTTTTTTTTTTTGTCTGTAGTGAAGACATTACAAAAGTTTATAAAGAAATTGGGGTTCCACAACAACGACAGCAACAGCACCTTTAATTAACGATCAGATGACGTAAACTTCATCTTCTTTTCCCCCTCCCCCCCATCTAGCCTTTCAATTTTTGCTGTAAAGAAAAACGAAAATGACAACAATTAATTGAGCAACAGCAGTTTGTCTTTCAATTTTCCGACCAAGTAAATTAAGTTAATTAAGAGACAACAGCATTGCACTAGATCATAACAAGTGTAAAACTAACAAAAAAAAAAAGAAAAAAACGACAGCACCATATTGTGTGTAAAAGTTTCACCAGTAATACAAACACACAAAAAAAAACATTCTTCCGCAGTTCTAAATGACATTTTAATAATCATTTGTGATGGTAAACATTTAAAAAAAAATTTTTTTCCCCGTCTTATGCCAGTATTGATTGAAGTAAGGATGCAAAAAAAAAGAAAAAGTTTAAAAACAGGAAGAAGGAGAAAAAAAAGGAATTCAGTAGTAATTTAAGAAGCGATAGTACAGAGGAGGAAACAGAGGAGATATTTGACCAGTTCTTTTGAGATCATTACTGATGAGAGTGATGATGGCGTTCAGC